TTTTCCACGCAGTGGAATGGGACCTGCCCTTGAATGCCCTTGAAGATGTCTTTAGTAGTGTCTCCCACTGGCCCACTGACTAACCTCCGTTACCTTATTTTGTGCAATAGTTGTTTATCATTGTTGACCAAGGAACTCTGAAGATGTTTGGGTTTCACAAACCAACAAAGAAAACTGTTCTCCAAAGAAGGGCTCTATCCGCAGTGAAACCATAGATCCTGAGCAATAGCACGTTTGTATTTCTCCCCCTCATTAGGATATTCTCTCCTTCCTTGGGCCACCAATCTAGATGCCATGGCACTTGCCAATGTGCCCATTTCACACAACAATGATTGCACTGAACTGGCACAGTGTGACACACAATTTACACAGTGTTCCAGTTCTGAGTGTCTTAGTATGACCCAGGTAAGTTCCAGCATTTAAGGATGCTCACACTGCCTACACTTTCCCACCCCTGCACTTTCGTGGGACCAGGAAGTTTGGTGATAAACATGTGACCTGGTCTCCTTATTCTTCCTTACCCACATGCATCATTGAGTAAACACCCACGTCTGAAGCCTGCTTTCGTCCTGGGAAATTTCAAGTAGAAGTAGCACTATTAGCCACATAGAAATGTGCAAAAAACAACTTTATGTTAGAGAACTGAAAACAAGTTTTGTAACTGTTAAAATAATAAGTGATGCATAATTATGCAGACTTTATCTCATGGAAGGCCTTATATCTCAAGTTAATAAGTCTAATTTCATAGTATTACTACAAAGTGCTAATGAGAAATGCTAGTGAAAAATGATAGGTGTTCTGTGAAATATGTAAGAGTTTCATAATCTGAGAGTTGCAAACTACTGTACACCATTAGTTAACTAGTGGTGGCTAACCTTTGCTACACATGTTGCAGTGGATACACACTGTGTTCTCTGTTGGTGCTCAAGCTAAGTTACCTCACCAGGTGAGCCACGGATAACAGTTGTATTTTTTTCTAAACTAAAACCTCAGTATGGAGGTTTAACTGCAGTGTTGGCACTTTGAGACAAATAAGTGCTTTGGGGTTGCAGTTTGGGGACTCAGTCTGTAAAACATTTACCATCATTGCAGTTAGCTCACCCAAGGAGATTCACAAAGTATTAAATACGTTGGTATAAAAAGAATAAATAAATAAGCTCTTACAGTTTGTCTCATAAATATTTGAAATTGACCACTCTCATAGAAGAGCATTAACATCTTTGATAACGTTTTGTGACTCTTGCCAAAGACACAAATGGAGCCCAAAGCATGTCACAGGAAGGTATATGTGGCTGCGAGGAGATGGGCTGAAAGAGGGGCAGGAAAGGCTGGGGGTCTGGGAAAGACGAAGAAGCAAATAGGCTGGGGACAAGTGGGTATATTGAGAGCTCTTTTAGAAAGCATGCGCATTAAAATTTAATAATCAGCTGGAAACGTGGTGCTTAGGAATAAAGAGGCTTTTCCATGAATTTGGCTTGAGTCTACAAACACGATTACTTACATATGAACACTCAACATGGTTCCCGGATCTTTCTAAAGCTACTTTCTGCCTTGCTATGTGATATTCACAAAGCTCATAAAGAAGAAAAATGCTCTTCCTAGTGACTTTATTTTTAGAAGGACCATATCTGATAACTACGACAAAGTTGAACCAACTAATACAGCGTGTGGATTCCAGAATAAATGACTCCGCTCAGTTAGAGCACGCGCTGCAGGTGCTATCCAGGGTGCTGAAGCAATTTGTCTCCTTAACTGCAATGTTGCTTCTGTTGCTCTTCGGCCTTTGACTGTCAGACTCGGCATTCTGGCAGCATAGCAGCCTTGTGCTATACCTAGCAAGTCCTCCTGTGATTAAAATGCTGTCAGCTGCCCTTGTCAGGACTAGCTGACTCTGACTTTTGATGGAGAACAGTCTGATTTCTCGTCTTAACTTCTGGTGGACCAGCCACAAGCTGCAAGCTCTCTATTTCCACAGAAGTTAAAAATTCCTTGACAGGTAAGTAAACATTTTTTTCCCAGGAATACAGTCAACATCCAGGGGAGCAGGTAATTTGTTCCTGTGGGTAGATGCTGAGCTGAATAAATTACTTCCACACAACCAGGTTTCAGGAATTGAAAGTCTCACCTTTTCAAAAGGCTTCTACTGGCCCCTGGCCTAGACTGAGACCAGATCTCTGCCCCTAGGAATTCAAAATCTGGTGGCGAATGAAAACAGTATTTCCAAGTACAGTGCACTGGCCTATATTTGGTAGAAAATACACTAACTACATTACAGACCCAGAAGAGACAGTTTAACGTGGGTTGGAGGTAGTTAGGGAAATATCCATGGAGAGGGTGGGAGAATATTGATCTGAGTGAACAGGTAGATTTTCAGTACAAAGAAGATGGTGTCCATCAAGGACAGCATCGTGGGAGCAGAATGCCTGGGGCACATTTGGGAGATGGCGAATGTCTGGTTCAGCCTACAGCTCTGACCTTCTCACACATGGTGCATCTCACCTTCCCCACCCACATTCCCATACACCACCACCATCCTGGGCACTTTCTATGTGATTGCATAATTTCTCTCACCCAATTAGTGATAATTGTGCCTCCAATAAACCTCATTGGCTACTATACTGCCATTGAGTAAAACTATTTCTTTTATCCAAAAGAAAGAAGTATCTTGTCAAATACTTGGACACTCAAAGAAAATACTTTGCTAGCCTCCATCAAGCCCTCATGGCATTGTCTAGAGGCATTCTTCAAGGTGAGGGATGCTCTAAGGCTTCTGGTTCTCACACCACAGTGCTGACATCCTTGACTTTGGTCGGTTTAGAAGTGGTGAATAAAATACAGCCCCAACTCGAAGCAAAGCCTGTCATGATGTAAACAAGGAACCTTTAAAAATAAGCATAAAGCACACACAGAGCAGAGGAAGCATCCGGAAGTCTGAGGTTAGATGGGGAAACTGGATCACCTCGAGAACAGGCTTTAAGTACAGGAATGGTCCACATGTGAGACTTACTCACATTTCAGAGGGTGTTCAATGCAGGCATTTTGTAGACCATATTTTCAGAACAAGCATTTCCAGCAGCTATAGGATTTTTCAGGCTTCGTGTAAGAAAAACAGGCAAGCATATGGCTAAAGCAGAAGAAATCAAGAGTTTGTCAGACAGGGCCAACAAAGGCCTCTCTCCTGGGGGATGACACCTGTACCAAGACAAGGGCAGTAAGGTCCCCTCTGTTCACCTAGTAAGGACCACGAGGTGGGCACACTGGTGGGGTTCTAGACCAGGTCCCACCAGGACTTGGATCCGTCAATGTATCTCATTAATATGAGCCATTTAAAGAAACTCATCAAAAATACTTGTATTGTGGTGGCTAAATATAATATGAAGCATTCAAAGCAAACTCTGAGACATTTTTTCTACCCATCGTTAAGGCAAGGGCAAAATTAGGTGTGACTGGAGATTGAAAATACCTACCAGGTGGTCCCCTTAGCTCCATCTTTTCAAGAGAATCCTTAATTACAACCATCTCTCCAGCCATAAAAGGTATTTGGAATCCCATACTCCTTAGTTCCACACTTGCTGGGTCTGTCCCCACATGCTATTCATTTTGTGTGGCTCTTTAGCTTGACACCCTTTAATGAGGTACAAACATGCGCGCGCGCGCGCACACGCGCGCACACACACACACTCTCTCTCTCTCTCTCTCTTCCTCCTCACTCCCGTCAGCTTCTGTCCACTTGTCAATTTACAGGACCTTTCCCATCCCTTTGTGCCCCCAGATCATGCTGTGGACTGCGCCTGTGTCTTCCACTCAGGAGACCAGGGGAGGCTACTCTTGGGACAATTCAGCCTCAAGGGATGAGCCTCAAAAGGACACAGGTTAAAAATAATGCCCCAGGAAAGCTTCAGGGTAGAAGAGTTAAAGGAATTGTTTTTGTGCTTACATTATCTGAAAAATGGACTTTGGCAAAACGGGATTTTTAGAGATCTTGCCAAATCTACAAGGAGGCACTGCCCTCAAAAGAAAGCCAAAAAGAGCAGCTAGTAGGATTTCACAGTATTCTTGGATAATTAGGTCTTATACAGCTCTAGACATCAGCCATGTCTCTGTTCATTTTCTGGTTTTTTAGTTTAGTTTGTTTTTTTATAATGAAGGATCATTGCTGAAATTGTACGAGGCAGGTAGTAGCAGAAGAACACATTTTGGGAATTTCATGCTGCATTTGAAGAGAATAAAGTGCAGAAAAGTGAAGGGCAGCCGATGTGATTTCTTCCAGGCAGGTCTATTAAATATCTATGAGGGTGAAACACTAATGTACCAATGGTCACTTACCCTTGGACAACCTATAAAAATGGAGAGGGTTATCTTAAATATGTGCATAGACCAAATGTTAATTTTTCACTTCAAAATCAAAAAGTCTGTGTGAAAAACAAGGCAAATGAGGCAAAAAAAAATTGACAATAACTTCTGAAAAAAACATGAGAGTTTTAAAACAACTTTGGGTATGCAACAGCTTTTACCTTTACAGGGAGAAGATTGTGTTCTAAAGTTTGGGGCTTTTGGAATAAGATCCCAATGTCAACTATTAACATCTAGAAAAATCTTTAGCTGTGTAAGATGAGAGATTGATGGAGAAGTCTCTGAATCATGCTGTGCGGGTAGAGCCCAACATTTTAAGTGAGCTTCACTGTTTTTTGAGGAAGTGTGGAATTATTTGTATTCACATGTGACAGTGTACCAAGCACCTATGTTTCCCATTGCCTTGATATAAGGGACTAGGAGCAAAGGTGAAGCATGGTATTAACTAACTCCTGGGTAATACCCCAAACCTTGCTGTTAGCACTAATGGGTCAGTACAATTCAAAGCACCCATTTCCACCTGATTTTTTACTATTACTTCCCAGAAGCACATGAAAGACTTCTGAGAAGTGTCAGAATACCAAAGTAGCAATGCATCTGAGAAACACTATTTCCCCTTGCTGCTTATCCAAAAATAAATACCTGAGTCGTGGAAAACACTGTTTATTTGAAAACTATGGGACATCCAATATGAAATACAGAGAACATCGACACTGATACTGTCGCAAGCACATTCCCCTAAGCCACCACGACGCCTGGATTTTGGATCCTGCAGGCAGCACCGAAAGCTGATTGTCCAGGGACCCTGGATGCCTGGTGGACAGTGTTAAGAGATGGTGTCTCCCACAGCCAGGAAGCTGTTCCCTGCTGGTGATCACAGACACACAACCTGTCCTTCCAGGATTCATAGGCAACAGTGGAGACTTTGGGCTCATCAGAATGCATGTCTGGCTGCATCTCAGCTTGGGGACAAGGCAGATGGCGGAACAGAAGCAGACCAGCAGCCCCACACATAGGTTTAGTCCCATTTGATAGAAAGTCTAATTAAAAATTATAAATGTGCTCAACTATTTATACATTTATATATATATATATATTTATCATTTGACAGGTAATCTCTAAAGTTTTCTCATTGAACCAGCTGAGAGGCAGCTCTGGTATAGACACATGGCTTGAGTTAAAGTCCCTCGGGCTGTGTCCGAGAGCCCAGTGGTGACTGGCAAGTCCTTTCTTCCTTTTATGCTTGCATCTCCTCTTCCAAGAGAGGAGGAAATGGACCCAAAAGTGATAGACGTGGTACATTTCGTTCTCCGAGCTTGGCAGTTGTTGGCCAAGTACCTCAAGTGGCTACCAAGCAGAGCCACTCTTAAATCGGACACCCAATGAGTCCGCTCGCACCGCATTGCCGTCTTGTCCAGCTTCCCCTACAGCTGTAGAATTCTCAGGTTTGAAAAGGTCTTCTTGTCTTAGCAGCTGTACTCGTGCAGCTTTCAACCTCCAAGGAAAAATCCTTTTCCTCTCCCTGTTGACTGATACTTTACGTCTAGACCAGGCACTCTTTCCTATCATTTAACTGCATTTCTTAGCTAAAAAAATTATTCCCTTTTTCCTGAAGGACTCAAGGGAATGCTGGCTAGCAATCTTACCGCTCACTTATTGGAACACTGGAAATGTGGTCAGACCCAACTTCCAGAATTCTCTTCACAATGACCAGGGAACTGGCAGGAATTAGCAAGCAGTCATACAAGCAAGTCTTAGGATTCCCCTGTAAGGGTCCAGTCGCATCCTGTACTAGTATTCCCAGGCCACATGGTGAAGGAGAAAGCGTGTGGATTCAGGAGGGAGGCATCTTAGGTTCCGGTTCCACCTCGTAGCCATTCCATGAGACCACATCCAGGGGCCTTCTCCTTCGCCTCACAGAACAAGTTTCCAAGATTGCATTCTAGATGAACTCAGTCTGCACCCAGAAATAGTGCAGGCCCTGTATGAGCAACCATCATCTAGGCAGGTGGGCAATGCTTAGAGGAGTCTGCTTACAAAGGCAGGTGGGTAGAGTCAGCCACTTTCTTGGCTCCCAGCCTTACAGGGCTTTCACTGATTGTTTTAATGGCCCATTTTACAGATGGAGAAGATGCAGTGCAGACAGTCAAGGGGATTTCTCAGGAGCACACTGTGAATCATTAGTAGGGCAGAAACTAAACCCATATACTCAGATCACAGCTTTCATACCGTGCCCAGCAGTAGCTGGGCAGGGGCAGGGTAGATATGTGGATGTTGTCCCTCTAAGCCCACTTTTCTGGTAACTGATGCATTGCCCTTGACTTTTGTTCCCACAGGAGTAGCCCACAGAGGACAGGGTAGGCCAGCAGGAGGGGCTGGGTGCAAAGCACTTGCAGGTAGCTAGTTGTGAAGTCAGAGCTGCAATCCCCATTTCCTCCCCTCTGCAGGCAAACAGCGACACTGGAAGATGACTGTACTGACCTCCTCTCCCTCCCCTCTCTCATGCTCTCAAAGCAATCACTGCCCTCAGTCAGTCCAACAGCAAGAACCCATCCATCTATCTCTGCTGCTGTTTCACTGATTAAAACACAAGCTCTTTTCCTCTTACAAAAGTAAAAGTGGGGCTCAGAGGGATGGAACGGACCCATCCAGAAGGAAGATACTGATTAGTACAACACGCACAGACAGAAAGCCAGCATGTGTGGTTTGCAGGCAGAGGACAGAGGGGCGTGCAGAACCCAGAATACTCGCGTGCATCTCCTGTTTCTTGCCTTCCATTTCTGTTGGGGTAATAGTTGTATCTCCTGTAGCTGAGTTGACGGATGTAGGAAATCAGTGATACTTTGTGTGTCTATGAACTATGCTCCTGGAGAGATAATACATCTAGAATTAAAACACTACTACAAACTACTAGGCATTTTTGATTGTTACAGATATCATTGAAAGACTCCAGGACAAGAACAAAGTCTCCAAATCTGGCCTTGGGAGAAGGGATTCTGTTTTGGACATCGAAGATAAGGCTCTCAAGTCGATTTATACTCTGCTGGGCAGTGTCAGTCAGGGTACAAATTAAGGTCCATAGATTTCAGGGAGGAGAAGGAAATGGTTGTGTAAATACACAAGTATTAACATCAATTTGTATTAAATTATGTAAACATATACATCTTCTGAGGTCAGCACACAGGTCCTCTTCTCAGCACAGGGTTCTACTGCAGCATGGCTCGAATCTGTTTGGAAGTGGTCTCATCATTCAAGTGCTTTGTAGTGAACCTGAATGGGGAAGGAGGGAGGGAGAGAGAGAGCGAGTGGGAGACAGAGGGAGAGAAAGACGGACAGAGATTAGAGGTCCAACAGAGCTGTACGGAAGTGTCAATGTGACCAATGCCCACCTGCAAACCAAACTTTAGACAAAGAGCCTTACTCGGGGGGTTGAACACAGGGCCTTCACACTGTGCTACATTCCCAGCTCTTCTTTATTTTTAATTTTTATTTTGAGATAAGGTCTCATTAAGTCACTAAATTGCCCAGGTTGGGCTCAAATTTGCAATCCCCCTACCCCAGCCTTCCACAGCTGTTCACCACCACACTCAGCTTGGGTGCAGAATCTTAGCATTCAGGTAAGACATTGAGTCACAGATTGCAACACGTGGATTTCCCGAAGGGCAGATGCTTATGGTCCTCTGCAGGGAGGCGATACTTATCCTCATTGCCACCACTAGGGGGCACAAATGCAGGTGAAAAATCAACCATGAAGTAATCCGCAGCCTCCCATTAACCTGATGTAGACAATGTGACCACCCTGCACCTCCGTGAATAGGGCAGTTGACAAGAGGGGTCGGGATGGGGAGGTGAAAAGGATCAAGAGGTGGTACGAATGTGCACCCATTCCCTCCATGAATGCATTCATTATGTATTGCAATCAGATACTTGTAAAATAAAATAAGTCCTGGGTGAAGGGAAGTAAAGATACAATGTGTAATAAAGCGTGGGCACCCCTGGAAGCTTCCATTTCAATCATGATAACTGTGCAGTAACCGCCTCGCATTACAGGCAAGGAAACATTCAGAGAGTTCGGAGGACCACTCCGGGTCCCAAAGCTGACTGACTCAGGTGCAATCTGTGACTTATGACTTAAACCTAAGACAACTGCCTAGAAAGCTCTTTTCTTTCACTGCATGTCCCCCACTCCAGGGGACTCCTGGCCCAGCAGGGTCTGGCCCTCAAACAAGCAAGGTCTTCTTCCTGCACATGGAAATCCAATCTGACGTGAAAGCATTTCTTTTTTTTTTTTCTCAGCAGCAAAAACCTTAGATAATTTATAGAATTTATAGGGGTGTTCTCAGCTGGGTGTGGCAGTGCACTCCTGTAGTCCTAGCACTCTGGGAGGCTAAGGCAGGAAGATTCCAACTTCCAACCCAGCCTGGGCAGCTTAATAATTGAAGTTTAGTGACTTAAGCATGATCCTGTCTCAAAATTAAAAAAAAAAAAATGAAAGAAGACTGGGGATCCAGCTCCCTGCAAAGGCCTTAAGTTTAAAAAATGATGCTCTCATGGTGCCACATTTCTGCAGGATGAATTCTTGGCACCTTGGACCCCAGAACCAATGTCTAGGGGGTTTGGTTTGTAGCCCTTGAAGGCTTCCACCCAGCTTGGCATGATTTACTCAGGGGCACAAGTTGACAGCTTCCTAGAGATGCCTCACAGCTGAAAACTAAGTACCCCAGCTCAGGGAGGGTGGAGCACACATATCAGCACAGGAGAGGAAGTGTTGGGCACCGTCCCTATGTCCCCCTGAAAATAAGACCTAGCTGGACAATAGCCTTGAAAACTAGAGACCAACATGGCAGCCCCACCAGCCCATGCTCGGCTCAGCTGCCGTCACTATTCCCTGGCTCAGTGCTGTGAGGCAGGCGAGGCCAGGGCTGGTGTTTTCAGTTCTAGTTTTCCAGGATCATTATTTTCCAGCTTGGTCTGATTGCCAGGGAAAGGGGGCTGTGCTCACTGAGGGGCTGGAGGAAGCCACAGCCGGCCGCACACTGAGGTGACTGCACACGGGAACTGTCTGGGGAACTGGAGGTCAGGCCACAGACAAACACGAGCTGCACAACAACAAATGCAGACCAGACATCCAGCCCTGGCCACAGACTCAGTGCATGTGATCTGGGGCAGCGTTGAGCCCGGTGCTTCCATCCCTGTGTGTGCAGCTGGATTTGGGGACCACTGTGGGTCCCAACTGGGCCACTGCCCCCGAGATGTTTAGCAAGTTATCTGACTCTTTCAACCTCAATTCTCCCATCTGTAAACAGGGAATGAGAAGGTGGTGCCGGCCTTGGGCGGTTACTGGGCAATGGATAGATGTGTTCAAATGTACACAGGGGCAGGCTCAGTGCACTGGCTCCTGGTCCCTGTCGCATGGACCTCACCTGAGGGCGTTGAGTAGTCCCTCCACGCTGTCCGGGGCCTGTTCCTTCAGAACCTTTATGCAGCCCTTCATCTGGAGGAGGAAGCACAGTCTGAGTATCAGGGTGGCTCTGTCCCTGTAACCTCTCTCTGTCCTAGCTCTGCCCATTAGTGGTGCAGCATTTCCGCCCACAGCAACAAACCAGGTTCTCCGCCCCCACAGTGACCACCGCTGACTTCCACACCACATGACCATTGTGCATTTTCAATTTGGGGACAAACACTGGAAACTGATTTGTCACTTACTTCAAGCCAAGTGCAGGGATACATAGCCTTCTCCCCGGTGCTGTTACAAATCACCAAATGTCTTAAAACCTGGTGATTTTATGCCTCTTTCTGTCCACAATGCTTTCCTTCCTTCAGATGTTTGGGAAACTCTGGCCCTACTCTCAGGGACCTCTTCTGACCTTCCCAGGGAGACAGTAACCATCACCTCTCTGCGGTCCTAGTGCCACACTGGCATTGATCAGACTCCTTGCAGAGTCACTGCTCACACGAGGCTGTCTCCCTCGCTAGCCCAGGAGCTACTAGAGGCACAGATCCAGGCCTTCATTATCCTTCACAAGGCCAGGGAAGGGCAGCTGCCAGGAACTGGACCTCACAGAGGCTGAATGTCTGCACCTCATCTATTAGCTTTGCTAGCGTTTGTATGAACTTGGACAAGTTTCTTAGCTTTCTGCGCCCTTGGAATAAAGTTACTTATCATTTGAGCAGTACATGAAAATTAAATGCATAGAGATCACATTACCTTATGTATGTTCTGTACTGTTTTTCAGCAAAGCAAGAATATTTCTTCAAAGAAGATAACTACCCATTTTAAACTCAGATATTCATTCATGACATGTGTTGGACTTGCTTAAACTTACAGCCTCTTTCATAATGGTGATGTGTAAACTTCTACTGTGGCTGTATTTCTGGGATGTCGCAAGTTTGATCATAAAGACCGAACACAATCTATAAATGGCAGAGCCTGCCAGGACATTTGGAAGGCACAAATAGAAAGAAGGCCACCATCAGTCAACACTGTGTGCTGTGGTCTGGGACAAGGAGGCACTCTAAGCAAGCAGCTCCATGGGATGACATCAGAGAGTCTGGGAAGTGACCCCCTTCTATTAGAGCTTCCAGACCAGCGAGAGAAGAGGCAGGGACTGCGCTCCACCTCGGTGTGCTGAGTGGCTGTAAAGCATCCCAAGGGACACTTGACAGTGATGTGGGAAGAGATTGAATTTCTAGTTCTATTTCAAAGTGCTTAAAGCTGGGGGTATGAAGATAAGACACTGTCAGAGACGTAGTTGGTGCTAGACCCAGAGTGAGTTTAAAAGCACATTAGAAAATTAGGGGCTTTTTCTTGTAGAAAAAACCCTTGACATTTTATGCTGAAAACTCGAACCTCAAGTTGTGTGACCCCCAGTTACATTTTTCACTGGTAAACTTCCTTGCACCCCATGCACCCCTGGCTTCTCTGGGCCTGTAGTCAGTGCAAGCAGTGCAAGCTACCCAGGCTTAGCCCTGTCAGAGTAAGTGAGGGTCGAAAGGTTCTACTCTCTCCTTGCACAGCTGTAAATTAATGCATGATACACATTGTGAGATGGGTTCACAGGCAAATGCTGGGCTAGCAGATGAGCTTTGTCCCTTAGATCAACAGGATAGCACCTGCACCCAAATGATGGGTTTGCCAATGGTTTTCATTCACCCGTCTACCCAACCACCTTTCCATCCATCCAACATCTATCCATCCATTTGTCCATTGTCCACCCCATTCATCTATCTACCCATACTTACCCATTCATCTATTCATCCATCCATTCATCTATCTATTCATCCATTTTCCATCCATCCATTCATCTATCCATTTGTCCATCCATCCATGCATTCATCAAACTATTCATCCATCCATTCATCTATCTACGCATACTTACCCATCCATTCATCTATCCATCCATCCATCTATTCGTCTATCTACCGATACTTACGCATCCATCTGTCCATACATGCATTCATCTATCTGTCCACCTATCCATTCATCCATTCATCTATCTACTAATCCTTACCTACCCATTTATCCATGTACTCATCCATCCATCTATCCATCCATCCATTCATATATCCACCCATCAATTCTTATGCCCATCCATCCATCCCATCCACCCAACCATTCATCTATCTATCCATCCATCCATCATCCATCCATCTGCCCATACACCTATCCATTCACCCATCCATCCATCCACCCAGTAAAACTTCACAGAACATCTATTGAGTGTCAGGTGCTAATTGCCAAATGCTGTGATAGACAGGGGAGAAGACAGAAAGTATATAAATCATGTCTTTGTCACTGTCTAAAAAGTTTGACTTTGTGGGAAGGTTAGAAAATACAAATCTGTAAAGTTCTCTGAGGACCAGAAGAAATGGAAGTCTGTACCCATGCAGGGTACAGAAAATATATTCCTGGGTAAGATAACACTTGCAAAGTGGCTGAAAGAAATCTGCCCATCAGACAGGAGGAGAAAGGGCCCTTAGAGAAGGGGAAAAGGATATGAATATTTAAATATAAAGTCATGCCATTGGGCAACGCAAGGGTAGAGAGTTAACAGAAAGGAAACTGAAGATGTGACATTTGAGCATGGTGCTTGTAATCTAGTACCTCCCAACTTCTTTCTCATTAGGACACGTGAGATTGGAATCAGCAGGTGACACTGGGCCAGTGGAGGGACAGAAAGTTGCTAATGGACTGGTCATGTGCTCAGCTAAAATACACTGAGGGACACACATTCCAGCTATCAACTGCTTGCCATGTGTTTGAGGTTGTGCCTCTGTCCTGAGCTCAGGACCAAGAGGGGGCTGCATCAATGGGATACAGAGGCCAGAGGAAGAGGACAAGGTCCGCTGGACTCTTATTTGCAAGGGACATTGCACAGCTATTCTTACATCGATCTTGGACGTCTTGCAGAAGGCTCCCACCGGGTGCACATGGTCGTAGAGGATGATGACCCCTACCATCACCCGCATGCAGAACATGAGCGTCTCTTCACTCGTGAACCTGCTCCTGTACTCCCTGAAAGAGAGAAGACAGTGGCCACGGCTCCTCTTCAGCACAGCCCTGGGCTGGGGCTCTGCTCCTTAAAGGGCCGCACTTTGCATCCTCTCTAGAGAGCAATCCCAGGCTGCCACAGCCAGGTTAATGTGCTTCTGAAGAGATGACGATGGAAACTCCCCTTGAATCCAGCCAGCCAGCAACTCAGTGTGAAAATAAGGGAAATGAGAGGGCAGTAAATCCTCGCTTCTGCCCTTCAGTGGCCAGCTCATTGTGCTCATCGCCCCCGCCCATCAACCTTGAATATTTTATAGGAGTTTCTCTGGCTGTCCAAGATTATAGAGAATAAAGGCTTCATTACACAGACAGAGCAGCTATCGGGTCTGCAGCCAGAGTAACTCCCTTTGTTCAGACCCGGAGTGCAGACTTGATTGGATTGATGAAGAAATGAGGAACCAGGCACCGAGGTGAGGGCATCAGTGGCACTTGCATTTGGTTCCTCATCTCCATGGGGGTCTCTGATGATTTAGATAATTTTGGCCAATGCTAGAGATGCCCTTAGCATCTATGTCATGATGAATTGGTCCCATAATGAAGGTGGCTGCTATTTCTGAATTAAAATAAATCTTAACTTTGGTACAGATGAAGTATTTGAAATTAACGCCCTCATATATAAGCAGAACATGTTTTATAATGTGCTGTGGTTTCTTAAACGTTCTGAAAATAGGAGATGCTTGGGAAATTTTATTAGATAAGAAAATCAAGGAAGGACCAGAAAGGTCAGGAGATCTATTCATTGGAACAGGAGAGGGTACAGATGTATGCAGACGCCTGATTTTTGAGAGGAGAGTTCCTCCACAACTATGCTGCTTCGCTATCAGTAACTGAACCTGTGCTTAACCCTAACAACTAGTAAGCAGCTTAGGAACAACGAGGGAGAGGGCAAGAGAAAGAGAGAGGGAGAAAGCCATTATTCTGCAACAGTCTTACCACTTATGCTCTCCTACTCTGATTCTAAACCTTTTAGGTCTTCTCTCTCTATGATGTGTTTATAATAATAGTCATCTAACCATCTCCATTTGGTCTTTCCATATCCTTTGTATGTATATACGTAGGTGTGTGTACATATGTAGGTATGTGCATATATGTGGGTATATGTGTGTATATATGTGGGTACGTGTGTACATGTAGGCGTGTGTATGTGTGTGTATATGAGTGGGTATGTGTGTATATATATGGGTGTACACATATGTAGCTGTGTGTATATATGTAGGTATGTGTGTGCATATGTGGGTCTGTGTGTGATTATGTAGGTATGTGTATATATGTGGGTATGTGCGTGTCTATATGTGGGTATGTGTGTGTACATATGTGGGTATGTGTGTGTATACATGGGTATGTGTGTGTATATATGTGGGTTATGTGTGTATATGTGGGTATGTGTGTGTATATATACAAAGGTGTGTGTGTATATGTGTGCATTTGCAGGACTGGGATTGAACCAAGGGCCTTCATACTGAGGGACATTTCCAGCCATTTTAGTTTGTTCATTTTAGAGACAAGATCTCATTAAGTTGCCCAGGCTGAGCTTGAACTTGAGATTCTCCTGCCTCAGCCCTCTAGAGTGCTGAGACTATGGGCACGCGCCACCACGTGCATCTGTATCATCCAGTAGCATCTTTGCACAAGGGTTATGCTGTCTGACAAGCTCTGTGATCTTTGGAAGGTCAATCAGCCAATTTGAGTCTCAGCTTCTTGGACTACAGAAAGAAAGAAAATGATGCCCACTATCCAGAGCTGCTTCTGAATTTGAAGCAGACAATATACTGTAAACTTCCTGGGCTGACCCACTGGTACATGACTCCTAACAGGCCCCAGCTGGGAGCACCAGCCGTGAATGAGCCTCGGGTTCACTTACGGAGTCTCCAGCATGACTTTGCAGACGCTGGTCATCGTACTGAGGCAGTCCGTGGTGTGCTCTATCGGCAGGGTTTTGTTCTACATTGGACACACATGCATGTTAGTCCCACTGGAAGCTCTTATGCACCAATCAGAAAACAGCAGCCTGCTGGGCAGCCCTGCCTACCTCAGAGACGAAGTGCATGGTGGCATCGCTCAGGGTTTTCAGCATGGGCGTGGCTTCTGCGTAGAAGAGGGACATGCGATTGGCCATCTCGTTATTGACTTCATTCTCAATGTCTAGCTGAGGAGAAAGGAAGAGAAGACACGATTAGAAACATCAAGGGCTCCCCGTGCCCTGCTTGACCCGGGAAGCATAAAAGCCATGGAGGACCAGACCCCGGAACTCACATGCATGTTGTTGATACGATTACGACTTATGGTTCTTCGGTAGTAGCTGAAGTCATTCTGAATGGCAGGGTTCCTCATCTGAAGTTCGGGAGAGAGGAGAGAAGTGGTTTCCTGGCATCAGGTGGGGGAAGGAGCACAAGGAGCCAGGCGCTCCATTCTGTAAAGATGCCGGGGGGGGGGGGCACTCCTGTTTCCCTCAAAATAAGACCTAAGCTTAACAGGGCCCACCCCCTTCAGCCTGCCCTTGCCTTACCTGTCATCCCAGTAGCCACTGACCTAGAGAATAGCGAGGCGGGACCTGCTGCAGGACTCTGGCCATCACCATGGTAACAACCAGCTATTAATTGTAGCTGCAGTTTATTCTCTGGCTAGGTCTTATTTTTGGGGAAACACAGTCTTTAATACACAAGAATCAAAGCAACTTCTAGTTAAAACTAAAGACCTATATCCTCACTATTATAAATTCCACCTTGTACTTGCTGTGGGCTAGATTTCAGGGAAAGTCTATTTGTTCCCCATGAGGACAGGACCCTTACAAAAGTTTTTCTCTCATTTCATCTGGCAGATTTTGAATTTCCATATATATGTTTCCATAACTGCTTTAATTCCTCACTGAGCAAGGCTCTGGGGAGCAACTGCCCCACTTCCATTCCCACTCACACTCCCAGCCCCAGTGGAAGGCTCAGCTGGGGCCAAGGGGCTGAACACCTTCCCAGCATGCTGGGTCTGACCTTCAGTTCATCAAATCGAAGTGTGAAATGCAGGATTTCCGCAAACTCCTTGGCCAGGGCCTGCTCCCGCTCCAGGTGCTGGGTTGGGGTATAGGGGGGGCAGGTCAGAGACTCCAGCAGGCTCTGCAGGGCTGTCTCTGGAAGCCAAGAGTGAAAGTGTGTTTTTGGGTACCCGAGAGCATCCTGAGCCCACTGAGAGTCTCAGAGGTCACTGCAGGGGTCCCCCTGGTCCCCATGTGTGTTCTAAGCTGTGGCAGCTGTCACTGGAGAGGCTGAGGGCCTGAGTAGGCTGCTCCTAGGTGGAGATCCCAGCCTGCAGGGTTTGCTCAGTGTCTCCACACTCAGCTCGCAGGTCTGCCCGTAACCAGTCCTGGCCCTGGGAGGAGACCACGAATGCATCCAGCTGTCCTGAGAGCCACTCACGGAGCAGTTCGAAGAGGCCTGGCTTTGAACACAGATTAGGCCGCCGGCTCCAGGCATGGTGAGATCTACTCTCACTGCAGCTTCTCTCTTCCTCTGCCCTCATCCTGGGAATGCTTTTCTTCAAACCTGCCACCACATTTACCCCTGCCTGATGCTCATCCAAAGCAGGGCTTATTTGGGGGAAGTGGGGTATGAGGACTTAGACATCACTGAGCACAAATCAAAGGGACACTCACTCCCACTGTGCCCCCGGAGTCAGGGTGCCAGCATAAACACTCGCAGTGTGCCTGTGCCAGGACTTCGCATCACAAATGTGTGGGACTCAAAGAAAGGAGAAAGGAAAGGGTGTTGCCTGTGGCCAGCCTCCCCCATGGCTCCTGCTCCTTTTCAAGTGACAAAACAAAACCTCCTGTGTGAGAGACCCACCTAGCCGGATGGAGAACTCGTAGAACCGCTTCAGCCTCACTACCAGGGGACACACAGCGTTCCAGGCCTTTTCCTGAAGCTGGATGTCATTGGGGTTTTGAATCGCCTGCAAGGATACGACAGAACTGTGTGTGAGCCCCACGCTGATCTTGTGATGACCTCAGTCTAACCCTTGCCTGTCTCTAAACAATCTGCAAGTTTTATTTCCCTAGACTTATAACAGCACAGAGTACCTGGGATCCCTGCGCCCCAAGGAAGGCCTCGTACTAAGAGGTAGGCAGACAGCGAGCGAGCGCGGCGTTCTCAGGTTTTTTTTTTTTTTTTTTGCCCCCACGCTCCACACCAGCGCAAGCTGCACCTCTCAGGATCCGGGCCTCAGGTGCCTAGAGGAGCGCAGATTCTACCGCGAAATGCACATACGGGCATCTAGCCCGTGAACGTGGGAGCCATCCCGGAACCACCCTCTCAAGCAGTGTGCTCAGGGCTGGTCCCTGGGGCTGTGGTATCTGTGTGTGGGTGTGTGTCTCTGCAAGTCTGCCTCTGTGCATGGGTACATGTGTGTACATGTGTGTGTCTGTGTGTCTGTGTGCGTGTCTGTGCATATCCACTTCTGTGCATGTATGGTTCTCCCCTCTCTCCCTACTGCAGGAGCTTGGCGCTGTCTCCGTACATCTCGGATCTCCGGCCCGGCGCCCTTGTAGGCCTGTAGGTCGGTGAGGATGCTCTCTGAGTCCTGCAGCACGGCACTGATCTGGTTCCAGATCTCCCGCTCCCCTTCTGTGGGCTGCGCATCTGAGATGAGGGAATAGCACACAAAGGCAGGTGTCACAAACTGTGGAAGATGCTGGCAACCTGTCCATCTGCCTGACTGCCAGCTCGTGCCTGCAGGCTGGGTGGCTGCTCTTCACCACATGAGCTCCTGGGAAGGGGAAAGAAACGCAGCCCCCTGCCTCGGCTGAGAGCACCCCATGACCTCACCGCACACCAGAACCTAGTGTGTGGGGAGCTCTGTGCTCCTGCATTTATTAATGTCACATATATTTTCCCCATACTTGCTCTGCATACCGGACAACTACAGGAAGAAACACCCTCTTTTCCTTCTTATCTATTACTTTTTAAATTCAAAGCCTATTTTAGTTATGGTAAAACACATGTAAAATGCACGACCTTCTTAAGTGTAGAGTTCAGTGGCTTTTTACTGCCTCACAGCCATGACTGCCACTGCTCCATGGTCCTCTGGGAAACGGAAACACTGCACGGGATCCGCTCTCCACAGAAGGCTCTGACTCCCTCCGTTATGACTGTAAAAAGTTGGGGAGACCAGTCCCGTGCACATTTCCTCGTAAAAATAAGCTTCTATGCTGGACACCAACGCTTCCCAGCCTCAGGAGCCGCTTGTCATCCCGGAACAGCCTGGTGCACAGAAAGTGCTGGGGCACCAGAGGCTGACCCCACAAAGGAGGCTGTGTTATGGCTGCTGGGGTTGCTCTGGGGGTAAAGATGGCCTTGCAGGTGGGCTGTGTCCAGGGTGGCTCTCAGCTGGAGCATCCGTTCCTGTCCCTCATCTTTTGAGGGCTGACGCCACAGAGCTGTCTTTAATTTTTTATTCCTGCATATTTGCATTCCCTGTGTGGAGCTGGTACACCTACACAAAGCATCGTAATTCCTTTATCCATCCCAGCCCTTCCTTCCCTCTCTCTCCTTCCCTCCATCACTTGGTCCCTTTCTCTTTGAGAAATAACTATTTCCCTACTTCCTATGTTTTACCTTTTATTTTCCTCTTTAATTCACTTATACTTTGGGTTTTCACATAAGAGAAACTGTGTGATCTGTGTGTCTGATTTATTTCACTTAACATTATGATCTGAAGGTGCATCCATTTTCCTATAAATGACTCATTTGTCCTTCTTTGTGGCACATTAGTACTTCACTGTGTGTAAAATCCACACTTTCTTTATGCATTCATCTACTGATGGGCATATTGGCCACTTCCAAGGTTTAGCTGTTATGAGTTTTGTTGCTATAAACATGGGCAAGTATGGATATCACTGTTATGTGATATCCTCAACTCTTTTGGGATGATACCTAGAAAGGGAAGAGCTGAGTGAAATGGAATTTCTAGTTTCAGTTTTTTGAGGAATCTCTGCACTGACTTCCACACTAGTTACCATTTTCCATTCCTACCAGCACCAGAGGGGACTCCTGTCCCCGGCAGCCTCGCTAACATTTGGTATCATTTGATCTCTTAATAGCAGCTACGCTGCCCACCACCTAAGACAGTGGTTTCCCTTCCTGGGAAAGGAAGGTTGCCATGTACCCACACATGCTAATTCTCTTTTAATACAAAATTCATAGGCTTGCGTAAGGTATCCAGACAGAGCAAACTTCTAGCCAAGGGATGAGTTTAGTCAGGAGGAGTCCTTCAAGTTCACACAGGCAGGGTTCAGAGAAAGAGAATGTGTGCAGCTCAGTGTGAATCACGTTACAGAAACTTTCCTCAAAGTGCCCTGGATGTCTCAAAACCCGGAAGCCAGGAAGCTCATAACAAGAAAGCAAATTCCAGAGAAGTGATGGCAGCTTCCAAGAGGGAACAATCTTCTAAAGAGAAATTTATTTGGATAAGAGGAAAAGCAGGCTAGGCATGGTAGGGTGCACTTGTGAGTCCAGCACTAGGGAGGCTGAGGCAGGAGGATTCCCATGAGTTACAGCCCAGCCCAGGCTGCACAGTGAGTGCAAGGCCAATCTGGACTACATAGTGAGACCCTGCCTAAAAAAGAGGAAAAGCAAAATAATTCGGGACCAAGATCGTAAGAACTCAGACCATTGAATACAATCATAAAACAGTCTGTGACACAGAGTGGCACTTGGAGGCAAGGAAGGAAAGCTTTTGAGCTTGGCTATCACACAGCTCCTTCCCAGGAAGTCACCACTCAAAAGGTTTTAGGTGGAACAGAAATAAAACCAAATGGGCTGGAAGAGAAGTTTGCAAAGAACCCAAACGCATCCTATGGATGTAGGCTGAGGCAAGAAGGCTCCAAGTTCAAACTTAGCCTGGGCAACTAAGCAACTTAGTGAGACCCTGTCTCAAAAGGTAAATGACTTGAGAGGCTGAGACAAGAGGATCGCTATGAGTTCGAGACCAGCCTACGCACAAAGTGAGCGGAAGGCCAACCTGAACTGCAGAGTGAGACACTGTCTCAAAAAGGAAAAAAAGAAAAGACAAGAAAAGAAAAACGCAGCTCAGTGTGAAGGGGCCCTGGGTCCAATCCCCAGTGCTGGAAAAACAAAAACATAAAGAAATTTTCAGTAGAGTGGTATAACTTGTCTCCCCGGTGTGGTGAGCAGCCTTTCTCCATGCAGACTGACAGGGTGTGGAGTCACGCCCTCAGTGGAGGGACTTAGGGAGGGATCTCTTCTGTTCTGGGGGACATGGACTTGGAGGCAGTGGGACCTCTCCTACAGCCAGTGTCTGGGCAGCATCAGCACAGCCAGAATGCAGAAAAGCTGGAGGGAACTCAGGTCACCGAGGCCAGCAGCCTGCCAGGTGCACAGCAACCGTGGGAGAAGCTTGAGTGTCTGTCTCACTCGGACAAGCGCTGTGAAGCCCTAGATGACATCCACCCTTGGCACAGCTCCCTGCGGGGCTAAGATTCCTCCTGCTTTCATCCCAGCTAACAGATCTGGTAGTCAGAACCGACTCTAGTGAGCTGTGCAATCAGATGCAGGACACTGGCCATCTTAGCTTCATTTCACATTGCCATTCCAGAGTAGGGCACGGTGGGTACCTGATTCCAGAAAAACTTGCTAGTCTTGCTAATCATACATTGACTGTATGATTCCAATATTCTTTGTGCATTGTGCTTAGTGACTGTTTCCCTGTTTGTCTCTGAATAGTAAGGTCCATCTGTATTCAGGCCCACCTGCGGTCCCACTGGCCAGCAGGAGGATTTCTGTGATCTACAGGCCAGCCTGTGCTGCAGAGCGAGTGCCAGGCCACATTGGTGACAGGTGGCCACCCGATAGATGGATGACTTGAGGAGGGGACTCAGCCAGGGGGCAGAGTGGCAGACTCTGGGAAGCAGCAGATAAATTCAGGTCCCATCACTCCCGGCCCTCTCCCCTCTCTCCTCTTCCCAGAAGACTTTCAAGCCAATGCAGCTCTCCTGCTGCATGAGAATCCAACCACAGCCGAATTCGCGTCTCACCATCCCAGAGACTCTGTGTTTAACCGTGTGCTAGGCATCTGTGGCTGCAGGTCTCCTCCGTGAGGCTGACACTTCTCACCACTTGTGAAAAGCTGCTCTTGTTTTCACTCCTCCAGCCCTGGAACCATGATAATTTGCCTGCTGTAAAATCCCTAAAGAGGCACTGGAGCCCACAGTCTGCCGTTCTCCACCCTCGGAGTCACCTTTTTAACATGTGCTGTTCCCAATGTCAACAGTGGCTGGGTTGGAGGACCCTGAAGGGTCAGTAGTGGGAAAGCGTACTAGCAGGCTCTGAAAGCATTTGCTGAGTGAATTATGGGCTTTGCTTTTCTACTTTCAACACCAAGATAGACCCTCTACTAATATGCTAGAAACTGGTCCTTGATTCCAGCTGTGGCTGGCAGAGTCTCTAAGAACCACCACACCCCAGCCTTCCAGTGACTGTCAGTGATTTCATCAACATGGAGGAGAATGGTTTCACGCAGCTGCTGTTTCTCCCATCTCACAATGGAGCTGTTAAAACCCTTTTGATTTACACAGGCAATTTCAGAAAGCAATCCCGCCAGAAGCTCCAGAGCAAGCGTGCCGTGGCCACTCCCCAGCTGAGGATTTAAGGCCTGATAGGGACTTGCTGCTGGGAGAAGTGTGAATAAGGCCCACTGTGACCTTGCATACATACACGTGTAGCCAAGATCTCACCAAATTCCAAGTGCCCAGGGTTTTTAACCAGAAAAAAATACCTTCTTATCAATTGAGACAAACAGCATTCATGCTGTTTGTAGTGGAAACATTGGTCCTCCTTTGGGCTTCATTTACTGTCAACACTTCAGTGTCACTGCAGAAGACTCTGGCGTCTACTCCACTGTGACAGAGGAGGGAAGATGGCTGTGGGCTGCCTGTGTCCAGGTCTCTGACAAACCTACTGCTGTGAACTCAGCCGGCCTCAAGCCAAGCAGGGCTCCTCTGGGGAGCCGGTCAAGGGCTGGACAGGAAAGACACCTATGTTCTTCCACTAGCCAATTTAGGATCTTACAGAGAAGCAAATTAACCTAAGATGATCTCTGCCCTGCAGATGACAAGAGATACGGGAGAAGAGTAAAATGTGGGAAACAGTGCAAAGTTTGGTAGAAAAGTGCCACCCAAATAAGGTTGTAGCAGAGCGAGAGGTGAATCTGTTTAATGACAATGTGATGTCACATTTTTGTAATCATTTTATATGAGTATGTTGGGCTTGCAGAATGAATCATCTGAGTTTCCATGATTTCCTAGGAGGAAATCAGGTTCGATACACCCATGCTTTGGATTTCAAGTGTGTTTCCGGAATGAATTATGCTCATGAACCAAAGTTCTACTGTATAAACTTTGCAGAAATATCTACTCAGATATCAAGGGGGTTTTTGATAGATCAAATCTTTTGCTGATGGAAAAAACATTTCTTTGAAGTGAGGTGCCCTTGTGTAGATATTAAGCTACTTGAACTTCTGTCTTAAAGACTTCTACTTCAAGTCTTGGGGGTTGGAACTCGAAGGTTGCTCAGTTTATTGTCCCTGTGGACACACCACGGTGGGCCAGGGGCTCATTGAAAACTTTCCAGGTGGTCCCCAAAGTGGCTGATTGTTCTAAGAACCTCAAGAGGTGAGGAAAAGTAGATTGTTGGGCTCAGAACACAGCTAACTGTTCAAAAAGAAAGTTCACCAGATGTTTCTAATCATCCTTCCTATTCGGGAATGGCCAGGGCTGTGTCCCTGGCCAGGCTACTGCTTGCTGCTTGTGCTGGACACCTTGCGGAGGCTTTGCTCAAAAGTGCTGCCCTTCCAACCATCACAACAGAAGAAGGCAGCCATATTCATCTCTGGCTCCCCTTGTCTCCCAGCCTGCAAACAGGCAGTGGAAACACAGCCAGGAGGCAGACAGGGAAACAGAAAGAAGTAGAGGAATGAAAATTTAAAAAAAAAAAAAAAGGGAAAACGATATTAATGGCTGTGAAGAAATGCAAGCTAAAGTGTAGAGCTCACTTCGAAGGTCAACGAGAATTTCAATCCTGCTGCAACGGGGGAAAACGAAGGCCAGATGTGTCTAATTTTGTGTTATGTTTTGATCCAGCTTAATTATATCTATTTGACCTGGTTCAATTATGTTCCATCACCAACTTCAAAAAGGATATTCACCACTCAAAAGAAAGGTGCCAAATTCATTTAGCTGTTACTACACGCTAGGCAGCCTTCCCTCCTCCCTCTACCCCCTCGTCCTTAACTCTTTACCAGCTGGCCTCTGTCTGTACCCGAAGTAATAAACTGTGCACATGGAAAAGGGGTTTGCCAGGCAGAGGGCCCGGGACAAGGGCACGCGTCCTCCTGCGCTGAGCAGAGTGTGGGCTCTCTGCCCCTGGGGTTTCAGCTCTCTTCCTTGGAGAGGAATCCTCTGGTGGAGCCCAGCTCTGAGCTCGGTCATCATTCCTGGGTCTTCTAACCCAAGCCGCCCTTGCATGGCAGCTTGCAATTCTTTTCAAAAGGCCTTGGGGGCTCGGTCTCCATTGGGTTTCTTGTCCTCCTTCAAACGTGCACTTCCTTTTCCAGTTTCTATACCTTTCGTCAGACTGTTTCCACCTGTGGGAAGCCTGCCCGTCTGTGTCTGTAGCAAGGCAACTCATTTTTAAAGCCCATCCTACATGCCGCCTCTTGTAGGGAGACCTCTCCCCTGCCTTCTGCCAGGAGTTAGAAGCACGTTCTTTTTCCTTCTTTCCTCCTGAGCCACACTGCCTCTCCTCAGCCGGCCTCATGTCTCACCTGTCTCCAGCTGCCTCCCTAGCATGGCCTCCTGAGAGTCCTGACTGTCCTTGACACACCCTCGCTGGAGCCGACGTAGGCTCTGGACAGGTCTTACCTGTAGCTCACCTTTCCCACCTCTCCAGCCCATCATTCTAAAATCTTTTCCTAAAAATCCCCTTTACAAATAGGACTTTTAGGACAAAAACCTACAAGTGACTTTTCCTCATGAGATGGCCTGGTTTATTGGTGACTAATGGACAGGATGGCCACGTCCTTCTAGGAAGCCCCTTGTGATGACTGTTCACGGCAGCAAAGAGGGGGCAAAAGGAGAGGGGTAGACCCAGGTCCCCCCAGCTCCTCTACCCTTCTCTGGGTGACTGCAGCCCCAAGAGTCCTCCCACCCCCACCCAGAGTCTCAGTGGGCTGGGCAGGGAAATGAGCAGAATTGTATACATTCTTCTAACTTCACAGCTTCGCACTGTCCCTAAATCTTCTAACTCTAATCCTAGCAGTGAGCCATTAGGCACAGAAATATCGTTCGCAATTCCTTGCATTGAAGACATCATAGACTCCAAAAATGGAGCTTTGGGGCCAAGAACATCATCAAACTTTAAGACTCTACAACCTGTATTTGGTCACCATGAGCTTTCCTGAGATGCAATGTTAGAAAATATCCAGATTCTGAGACACAGCGGAGCAGAGGACTCTGGTGCTGGAAGGGAGGAAGGGAGGCCTCCTGCAGTGCCCCCTGCCTGCTCTGGGGTGGGTGGCATCCTCAGGGCTGAGTCCTTGAAACCAGGTGATGCAGAGGACCTCAGGAAACTACTGATACATCCTGCAGGTTTCCCTTTTATGGCTGCAAAAGTTTTGGGGATTAATCTCAATAAAGATGGCTTCAGAGGCCTGAGTGAGAGTATGGAAAGCCATGATCTGAGCTAAGCAGGCAAGCAGGGTCATGAGATTCTGGTGGCACGGGGGGCCTGGGCAGGAACGTGAGGGAGTGTCAGCTGCCAGAAAAAAACAAGTAGTTAACTGTGCTCTGGGGCACCCACGCCTTGGGGCTTTTGATTACCATTTGGCCTTTTACAAGCTGAATGAAGCAATATAAAAGACGTGTGATAAGAAATGGAAGAGTATAATTTAAAAATGTAAATAGTAAAAAAAAAAAAAAAAAAAAAAAACCCAAAAACCACATATATCCCAAACTAACCAAGTCCAACAATAACATGCCAAGTTCAGTTATAAATGTATCTTTCACAGAATTTAATCTAGATTACAGGAGAACCTAGGATTGTAGCTTGTTCTATGAATGTTCCTCAACACAAGCAAACATTTATAAAATAAATTTTAGCTTGATAAATGCATGGTATCTTGCAATACAAGTATTATGTGCCAGCGAATGTCATATGATCTCAGCTGAGCAAGTGGTTCTTCTGTCTGTCTCCTCTGTCTCTGTTCATGTCTCACTGTGCAATTGTGGGTGATCATTTCCCAACAGAAAGAGGTTATGGAGGAGCTCTCGTTAGGAGAGGAGGGGAATATGAAGGCAGAGGGGAATCCCTCACCTCAAATGAGACATGGGAGAAGGACAGGGGAGAAGAGTAAAATGTGGGAAACAGTACAGAGTTCTGTAGAACAGCACCACCCAAATAAGGCTGTAGCAGAACGAGAGACGAATCTGTTTAAAGAAAATTCAATGCTGTATTTCTGTGAGGTCCTCAAGAGGAGGCGAAAGCAAGCACCATTGGACCAGTTCCTTGTTAGAGCGGCACATGAAGAAAAGGATTCCACAGAGTCGGAGGATAGCAGAGATTCCATGGTGACAGCATGCTACACGGCAACACTGTGTCCCTCACAACAGCCATGAAGGTCTTCAAAGGGAGGTGCAGGTTAATTTGTTTATTTTTCTGCATATTTTGCACATACGTTATTATTCTGTATTATAAAATTGTAATCCATTTTTTATATGAGTATCTTTGGGTTGCAGAATGAATCATCTGAGTTTCCATGACTTCGTACAGGGAAACTTCCTGTGATATACTGTACAAGTGCTGTGAATTACAAGCATGTTTCTGGAACACATTATGCTCCCAAACAAGGTTTTACTGTACTTTGTGCAAAACATATGAGCATTGCGGATGTGTTTCCTTTCCGCATCACTGTCTTAAACACTCTGAATTACCAAATCAACACACCCAGGAAACTTTCATCTTTTGCATTAGTGCACCTTTGAAAGGTCTTCTAGCATTGCCTTTGCAAATCTCTGTTAGAAGACTCATCTAGACGTAAAGAAGCCCCAACCATTTTCTTTCCCACAGATAAAATAGTTGAAAAGTTAAAGCTTGAAGCTGGTTGAAGTGTGCAAGGGATGGGAATTCTGAAAAAAGGTATCTGCTTGCCCTTGTGGCATTGGAATTTAAAATGGAAGAGAATAAAAGAGTACAGTTGTAAGCCTCGCTTGGTCAGAATAAACATGAATGTGCTGATCATGTTTCCATATATAAAAATAAAACAAAAGCGGAGGAATCTCTGTGCTTATTCAATCATGATTCTTAGGCCATTTTTACCTGAGGAGAAAAAACTATAATGTTCTTGATAAAAGAGACAAATTTTTCGGATAAAAGGCATATATCTCAAAATCTTGGAATGGTACTATATAATGAAATAATAAAGAATAAATGGAAAGGATTGAAAAATAATTTGTACATCTTATTTCCATTATTTACAACTTTTTTCTTACATGTATAGTGATATATATTTTATATTAATCTGTGTAAATTAATGTGCTTACCATTTTTCTTTGGAATACAATGTAGTAACTCATACAAATTTTTAGGAAAAATGCCTGATACTTCATATTAAGCCTATAATAACTGACCACTTCAAAAATCAAAGAAAACCATGAACGCATTAAAAGATTTTCCATTAGGTTTTTGAAAAAAATAGGAAAAGAGTAAAGAAAAATGATTTTAGAAATTATTTCAGAAGTAGATTTGGCTTAAGTATCACCTAAAATCTTTATAACTTCTTTAACAACAAGCTATAAAAAGTGAAAAATTTTTATTATTATATTATGATTTAGGGGACTTACTCTCAAAATCCAGGAAAAAGTGTGGATAGTTTTCAATTTCCCTGGTCAGGACTTTGAGCAGGTTTCCCATCCCAGCAAACCTAGGAAAGGCAACACAAAAAATAAATAAATACCATTAGAAATAGAAACACAAATCTCTTCAGGAACTTCCAAGTTCTTTGCTTGCTACTATGAAGGCCAGAAAGATGGTGTCTCATAGAGGTGCGGTAACCCTGGGTACCTTCATTACTGAACTGGTGCCCATAAATATCACAGAGGTGATGGGTGTCTAAAACCTAGGGACCTCTGGTGTATACCACACCAAAGAGTGGTGCAAGCATTAGAGGCAGTTTCTGCAGAATACACTCTCATGCACTCACAATTAGAAAACTTGATCCATAAACATTGTACTAAAATAATCAGGTTTTAAATGATAGGAAATAGGGTTTTAGTACACTCTACAAAGTGAATATATATTCTACAAAGTGGCTAATCCTTGGAAATCTTACAGCTATTAGCTCAATTTTGCTTGGATTCCTGTCCATCAAAGAAGCCATTACTGAAGTATCTGTCCAGAAAAGTAACTTACTTAAAGTTCATGAGAAGCAGGGTTTGGGGAGCACAGATTTAGGGTCCCACAGTCTCTTTTGGTTGTGTGTAGGAGACAAGATTCCTCAGGATGGAATTCCCAGGCAAGCTGAAGCCTCCCATCTTTCACCATTTCAATGGAAAGGAGGCCAGAAACTTCTCGAAGTATAAAAAATGAAAAGGTAGGCCCGGGGATTTAGCTCAGCGACATAAGCACCTGCCTGGCAAGTGTGAGGTTGTGAGTTCAATCTCTGGTACCGCAAAAAAAAAAAAAAAAAAAAAAAAAAAAAGAAGGCATAATACCCAAAAAGTCATTTTCCATGAAGCAACAGGCTAAGACATTTAAAAAGCTGAGTCAAATCAACAGAGAAATACAGATTTGTTACACATCTGCAGTCCTTTCCAGAAAAAGCAAATAAGTTGTTATGGGTTAAGAACTGGTGGTCAACTTAATGCCAGCTGGATTACATCAGAATGGTGCTGAGCTTAGATGCTCCACCTCAGGAAAGTTGCCAGCATAAACAGAGCTGTGGAGAAGGAGAAGCTATTGCGTTGAGGCATTGAGGCATTGTGAGTTCTCCTATGAGTTGCTGTTTGAACCGTTGGTTCTCCTGGAGCTTTGGTCCTCACATAGAGCACTGCTTCCTGGCTCTGGAGGGGAAGACGTGTGCCGCTTGGTCTCCAGGATGAACTCATCATGCTGGCATCCTGGCATATACCTGACTGTGCTTATCGTTGGAGGAGCTCGGAGTCTCCGTGTTGCTTAGGATGGCTGTGGTGATTTTCAAGACAGCCCTGATCTTTATTATGATTGTGACTTCTTGGCTCCAGCGTAGAACCATCATCCCACCAGCACAGCTCCTTCACTCCACTGGCATGGACTCTCTGGCTTCCACCGCTGACCTTTGGGTCTTCCCAGCACAGATCCATACAAGAGATTGGCATGAGTCCTTCTTGTGGGCTCTGGACCTCCAGTTGGACTTGTGGGAGGCACTGTCATAAGCTCTGGGTTTTCATCTGGATTCACGTGGGACATTGCTGTGGGATTTAGGCCCTTGACTAAATATTCTATGTCTTTGGTGTTACGGATAGATTTCCGGCAGTTTCTTGTATTAACTCTGGGTGAGCATCATAAAACAATATTATAAACTCCATGTCCTGATTCTAATTGTTCTCTGCACAACCCCTGACTACAACAGAAATAGATTGTAGTTACTTTGAAGTAAGCAGTACAATTTCTACTGCTCCCAGAACAGACACTGCACCATCTGTGGGGGAGGCCGCACCCTGCATCCCTCATTCCCCCAACATTTCCTCTTTGAGAGGCAGCTTCTCCACCCTGCAGAGTGCAGATGCCTGTCTGTAAAGAACCGCTTTGCAAATCAGGGACCAGGACTGAGCTCAGCCCTGATTTTTCATGCCTGTAGCTTCTGACATGACGATGTTGAAATGAGGAATATTTTGAAGGCACCACTTCAAGAAGGATACAGTGAAAGAAGAATACACTGAAATAAGATTGTGTGATGTGCTTGCCACAGTCTTCCGTGGAGAATACCCCAAATCCAGGTAGAAAGAGCCAACTTTACCCAACCCCAGGTCTGCGTCATGCTGCTGCCAGGGCAGGGCAGGCTGCCGGACTCCAGGACCCTGACTCCTCATCTGTAAATAAATCTGCTGAGCACTGCGCTTAGAGCAAGGGCTGAAGAAACTGTACCCGCTCTTGCCAAGGACCACAAAAGTTACCGGGATTTAGGATGTTCCTAGAGAAGATGGATTTGATAGATCGTGTGCTGCTGGAGGGAAGTGTGGTAAGCAAGACCAGTGGGAAATATGAGGAAGATCTTTGTCCTATGTTATGAAGAAATTTCTAACCATTACAGTTGCCTGAAGTTGAGTAATTCCCCCTTGAAATGGGGAGCTTTCCCACACTGGCAAGGATTAAATAGCATCCCTTATTGATGATGTAGAAATGACTTATGTGGAAATGACCAGAAAGGTGGGCCAGAGATTTCTTAGACTTCTCCTGCCTTGGAGCACATGGGTACATGAGCATGAACATGGGGTGCGTGCAGACATACACACACCCATATGTGCACACACAGGCACACATACACTGTATTGCTCTCTCTCAAAACAATCTTCCCTCTTCTGTCTGCCACTCCTAAGTCCTCTGTACATTTCTTTTTAACATATTTCTCAGCGAATCCCTGTGTGAGGTAAGCTTTGCCAAATTTAAAGTCTGCAACTGGTGTCGTCCAGCCTCCACTAGGCAGCATTTGTAAACTGTTTTGGGAAGAATGTTCCAGTTGTATGAGCAATTCCACCTCAGACCTGGAGGTACTTCTTGCAGGAAGGTGATCTAACATTTAGAAGAAGACCTGGCTTTTATGTATGATGCCTTAATGGAAGCCAGGCAACCTTAATTTCCCACTTTTTGTGCTGTGACTGTCACAAGAGATGTGCGTGGCCTTAACTCCTTCCTAAAATTCTGTCTTATGTGTGATTTTACTGGCAGAGTATCTGGGTGGGGAATATGGAAAGCCTTTGAAATCTCTAACAGACTGGAAAAAGCATGTAGAAATGCAGGCAAATGTTAGCAGTATTCCGTCTCTTTCACAGGTATGGACTGGGCTGACTGACAGCTTGAATATCTTAGAAGATGATTCTAGCATTAACCATGGTCAGTTACTGGGAACTTCCAGAATTCTAGATGTGTCACCTCTGAAGCAGGAGTCACATCTGCCCAGTGATGGAGACATTACAGACTATGAGAGGTTATGTCTAGTTTTATGGGAGCTAGAAATGTATGTTTTAAAGCTGACGAAAGATCGCTGTTGACAATAGAAACACTTCATCTCGTCTCCTCCACAGGAAGAAGACCCGATGCTTATTCTCCTGCCAGGTCAGTAAGAGGTCACAGGATCATCTGGTTTAGTGAGGTCTGACATTAAATAGGTGCATCACAGAATGGGTCAGAGGTGGAGCCCACTCTTACTTTGGGGGGAACCAGGGTTCCATCTGGAAAGCTGCATGCCTGTGGTTCTCTATGCTGGAGATTCTTCAACCTATCCAGGTGAATGCAAAACACACTGCTTTGCATCACAGTACTAGTGAAATGGCTTAGGTAATAATAAAGATTATTTTAAAAGGTATTTTATCTTCCTACGAATGATCTGAGTTTATCTTTCTTTATGGCAGAGTAATACTCCATCGTGTATAAATGCCACACTTTCTGTGTCTGCATCTGTTGACGGACAAGACAGGCTGCATGAAAACTTAATGTTAAATAAAATAAATCAGACATGTGACCTTAAATACCACATGGTTCATCTCACAGGAGAAACCAAAATTATAAATAATGAGCAAAATAAAAGACAGATAATAGGAAGTACGGAAATGGGTGTTTTATGGCAGGGGAGGAGAACAAGAGATGGAGGGAGGCAGAGCAAAGGAAAGGTGAGGAAAAGGGATTAAGATGCGCTGCGTCCCACTCCACACACGGGCTGTAAACCTCATGTACTGCAAACATGGACAAACGAAAACTCTCGCTATGGTATTTATCTCAATAAAGAAAACCATTTTGGACAATTTATAAACTTTAGAAAATGCAAACACTGATCTAATAAAAGTGGGGAAGAAAATAATAGAGCAAAGGAGAAAAAAATGCTCCTTTTTAAGAGTTAGCATTCCCCAAATATAAAAACAACACAGTTTCCCATGGAGACGCACTGTGACAGTACCCGGATGAGGAGATGTGAGGCCCCAGCCAGCACGTGGAACAGCTGGTGAGGGGCACTGCCCCCCACCCTGTCCATGGCGTGGGTGTGTGTCCAGCAGACATGCTGGAGCTACCAGGAGCTCTGGTTCCACATCTGGCTCAGGATCTCACGGTGACCACCTTCTGCAGTTCATGGCAGGCAGAAGGGAGCAAAGCAACTGGGGGCAACTCCAGCTCTTTTTGTCCCTTACATCTTACCCAGGCTCCTCAGGGCAGGGAGCACTCACACCTTAATCCTAGTGTCCTTCAAGCCTAGCGCTGCCCCATGATCCATCCCAGCATCACACACACTAGATCAGCTACCTCTGAAGAAGCCTCACCTGTGACCATGGGAGGCTGTGGGGGACATCCAGACACAGCCACGATGGAGGACACACAGCCCCCCTCAGGGTCCAGAGGAGTCCACCTTGCAGATGGCTCAGAGTCCAGGCAGGGAGCTGCTGCCAGACGGGCAAGGTGCCGAGTTGGGGTGAAGGGAAGAGAGGACACCAAGGCCCGGTTCCCCTGAAACAGTAGCTCTGCCCTGACAGGTTCGCTTACCACCAGATTACTCAGAACTGGGTAAACATAGGGTTTTCTATGAGCAGTCTCTTGGCTCACAGCTCAACACCACTCTACTGCTGACTCTACCACTACTCTCTGGAATCAGTGAGTATCCTGAAGAAATCATTCTCTATGAACATTTTCAGTTTCAAAAAACAGAAGAGGCTGGGTATGGCGGCCCACACCTGTAAT